TCGACATCTTCACATATGTGAATTCAAAATTTATATACGTCGAGAAACACCTGAAAACCCAGCTGACCCAACTATACAAGGATATTATGGAGCAAAAATGTGCACTGGAAAGGCAGATCCTCCTCAACGCACTTTCTCTAGCAAGCATAGCACCTGACGAAATGGCGCATCGAATAATGAAGTCTCCAGGTTATACCGCCATAACTGCAGGTGAAGTTATACACCTCATCAAATGTATACCTGTCAAATGCCGCCTACGACCTACCGAGGAGTGCTACAACGAACTCCCCGTCACTCATCAAAATAAGTCACTCTTCCTCTTACCAAGATCGAAGATACTTACTAAAGCCGGAACATCGAGGGATTGCAATGAACTATTACCAACTCTATACCAAATACACAACACCTGGTATAGACTAACACCGAAACCCGTGGAATCGGTGGCACCGCCTACTATCAGGCCTCTAACCAAACCCTCATGGAAGTACGTAAGCCCGGATTCACTCGCTTCCAGTGGTATCTATACGAACGAAGATCTTGATCGTCTTCGCGACCATATCATGTTCCCCGTGGAAAAACCCTCCATGCTCCACACAATCGCCAGGGGAGCAATGGGACAGGAAATTCCTACAGGCAGTTTCTCCTTGCTGAATTTATTAGACGAGAAATCTCTCGACCGAATAGCGGAAAATACCGGAGCCAGGCTATGGAAGGGATTTATAAGCTTCGGATCCGCCAGCGCCGGAGTACTTGGCATCTTCGTTACCGTACGGTTGATAAAATTAATAATCGACACCCTGATCCATGGGTACGCACTCCACTCGGTGTACGGATGGAGTCTACATCTACTCGGAGCCATTTGGACCTCGGTGACCAACGTCCTCCTACACCTTGGTAGATCAGCGGACGGAGAACAGGACAACGGACGAGAACTGCTACACCTGAAACCCCCTCCAACGAACGAAGAAGAAACACCCTTAACCCTGCCCACACAACAAACCCCTTCGATTAACGAATCAGACAGTGGCAAAGTGTGCAAAAACTCACCCTACGAGTGTTCCCCCAATGAAAGATTACGGCGAACTAAATAAATATTTACATAATCAATGTTAAGTTAAGAACCTAATCGTAGCGCATAGAAAACTAAGTCCAAAATGTTGGAACATTAAATTCCAACATTTTTTTTTAAGGGGGAGGTGTCACGTCCGGCCGTATAAATTTTTTCGTTTACTCCAAGTTCCTTAAACGCTATTTGAAAAGCGCGCCAAAGCCGGCCATGACGCTTAACTCCGCCTAGAAACTAAGCGTGGCGCTTCGTAGCGCCTAAGGATCTCCCACCACGGTGAGAGCCCCTACTCCGGAGAGTTCCCCCTCTCCAGGCCGCCGCAGGCCCGAGCCGCCGAAACGAAGGACCTCAGAGCAGTCCCGAATTTCGGCAGTTCTCTGCGCGACACCGAACAGTATAGTCGCACTCCTAAATTCTAACTCTAAGTCCAAATTCTAAATCCTAACTCTAATTCTAAAATTCTAACTCTAAGTATAATATTCTAACTCTAAATTCTAAGTCTAAATCTAAATTCTAATTCTAAGTTTTAGTCTCGAATTTTGTACTACTATACGAATAAATCAGTGTATTCATGTGTGAAAACTAGTGTTCAGTATTCTTCAAAACTTCCACTCCCGTGATAAAATACGATAGCGTTTAAATTTGTCATACGGCGTTTGAATTCAGAATAATTCAAACTGTGTTTGGAGCGGACCACCGCTCATCACAGTCAGAATTAACATTCTCAGCATTTGCCAAAATAAGGAATTGATAGTGAGGTCCGCCGCATATCAACCCTCCTTATTTGAGTAATCATTCAGAGGATGCATCAAATTCAATATGCCTAAGACGCGACGCGCAGGAAGGAAGAATCAATTACGAAAACTAAACCGACTTTATCGCGAATCAGCGACCGAGGAATATTCTCAATTCCTCGGAGTGGAATATCAGGCCGATCCTGAATACGAGAACATTTTCAACATTAAAAATAATAACAACGACGAACTCCTACAGTGGAAGTGCATACCAATAACGTTCCAACCACGACGCCTGCCGCCGCCAAACATCCCAGTGAACGACCCTCGCCGCACGCACTACCTCCAAGTACGAGCCGACACGATCAAGAAAGTGCTACTAAAGGTAAGTGAAATTCACGTTAACCTAAGGAATCGCGCGTGTTAGCAAATTCAGAGACGCTTCTACCACGTGGAAGAGAACATTCTAGAAAAATCTCCGACGCATTTTTCCTCTTTTCCATCGTCACTGCGGAAGCTATAAAAAAAAGGTCGGGCTATAAAACTAGGGTCGACCACCACATGCGGTGCCACCCTCGGAATTCTAACACGGAAAAACGCAAATAGTTCAATCTCTTAAAAATCTTGTGTCTCAAGAAATAACTTCGTAAATCCGTACAACAAAGTAGTCATTTAAACAATAATCAATTGAGAACACTTTCGATTTACCAACATTACCGACGATATACCGACATACGTTCTTTTACCGACGTTATCGACAATATACCAACATACGTTCTTTTACCGACATTACCGACGATATACCGACATACGTTCTTTTACCAACGGGTTATCGACACCTTACTGGCACCTTACCAGTGTTTTACTGAACAATTACCGACGGTTTTGCCGACGACTACTAACTTCTCGATAACTGCCGGGTTCACCGAAGATCTACGAGCGAATGACGCATTATCAATTCGATTACGCAACAAACACAAATGTGCCCACTCACCCTTAGAGGTATAACTCCTCCTCCAGAAGTTAATCTCTTTGTACCGTTTGAACCCTTATTCTATTGCCAAGTTGGTGTCGGGTACATCCATTTTGAGACTAAGGCAGCTCTCTGCATTTCATGCTACTCCACCTTACCTAGAGTCTCGAAATTACTTTGGACAAGGATTCGGAAGCATACTCTAATCATAGGCGGAACACCTATCGGAATAAATTGCGGAGTCTGCAACTTCCGACTTACCCTCACGCGAATCGGTGATTTGTGCGAGCTTTGTCAGTTTACGTACGAAGATTACTTACGCAACCCCAACGACGTTTCGCATAGAGCAATCGACGAAGCTATCTTTATTACAGTAGAGTCACAGGTAGGTCCCACGCAATAATCCGATCACCTCAGTTCCAGCGCGAATAACCTCAGATCGCGGGTATCCCCGGGGAGAATCGCATAGATTCGCGTACCCGTAATAGCGATCGTGTCTCGTGGAAAAAGCCGAGCTCTGCATTCAAATTTTCGCAGCCGCGACCCCACGAGACGTAACACCTAAAAGTTATGGTAATTGTAAGAGAATATGGTATGAAAAGAATTTTATTAGAATTTCTCTGATTAATAATTATCACATTCAAAATAATAATATTTATCACTGTTTAAAACTTGGAACAAAGCTGTCGAGAAAAAAAATATATATATATATATTGTTCTGGTTCCGAGTCGAAGCCAGGGACTCAAGGCTCGACCAACGATCGACTTTGTTTGGCACCTCGAGCGGACATCGACAGGTCAACCGGCCAGCGAATCACGATTAGCCGCGCGCGTGTCACGCGCCGAGTTCATGCAAAGCTCGTGATTCCGAATCGGTTGTCTTCCCCGAGGTTAAAAAGGGAGTTCAGTTAGCCCAAAGACACAGTCGAGAGCACCCAACGATAAAGCGGTATGCTTGTAACGGATCCGCGATATCCTGTCTTTCTTTGTTCTTGAAGAACGACAATCGAACCTCAATCACGTATTCAATAGTCTATCAAAAGGGTCCGAAGCGTCGGAACCAGATACAGTGTACAAATCTGATATGATACAATAAAATTACTGTTATTAAAATTAAATAAAAGGAAAAACATTGGTCCTTCGAGCCGGATTTTTCGTTGACCCGATCATACGGATAATCAAACTACGCGAGATTCGCGTTGTGAGACGGAACGGGTGAACATTGTCAGTGAGACGTCGGACTGTGACTCCTCGTTTTACAATCGAATGAGTGCAGAAGAAGAACAAAGACAGTGTCGCGTTCACTATCCAACGGGTTTTCTCTCTGGGCTCACTCACTCTGCTTGAGCGACAAGTGGAGTTATTTTCCCGTCGTGGAGTTAACTTTAACGAACATTCCCGCGGGAATCTAAATGTTGAGCTTCGCGCCTTATTCGCGAGTTCATTTACAAGGTTCAAACGCGGGGGTCTGGTGGTGGAAACAATTCGTGAACTCAAAGTCAAAATTACATCGTGTTTCGCGGAACGAAGTGAAGTATTCCGCGAAGGTGTTGCCGTCGGCGTCGATAACACGCCCGGAACATCATACACTGTGCTAATCGAGACTGGACGCGACGATTAAAAGGGAATCGTCGCGAGTTCGACGCCGTCGGCGTGGCAATTGAACGTCACGGCGTTAATTCTTCAGGCACCGGAGAAATCCGCTTGTCGATAAGAAAACATCCGCGGAAAGGTTGCCGTCGGCGCAGCGGTAACGCTCCCCGGCATATCCCGTGTATTCTTAAGCGACATAACAGTGTCGCGATTCGACCAAAAGTCGTCGCGCATTCGTTGCCGTCGGCACCGTGCTCACGAGCCCGGTACCTTCGATCAAGTCACTATTAATAGCTCATTAACGAAGAAATAATGGCAGAATTAAGAAATTTGCTCATCTCGCAAGTTGAAACAATCGACTCGATAAAGCGAGTTCTCGTTAACTTCAAGAAATTAGCGAAAGCTAATGTTACATTAGCAAAGACGCAGGGGCGTCTTGCAACGCTGGAAACGCTTTGGACTTCCTGTCGAGGGCTACACGTCAAGCTGCTGCAAGCCACAACTTAGGAGGAGAAGACTGTCTCGTATTTCCTGAATGGAGACTTCCTGAGCGCCGAGGAGATCTACCACGACACGGCCGACCTCCTTCGCGATACGATAAGTCGATTCTCAATTAATCAATCTCCGTTGTTAGAACACAGTACTGATTCTTCAATTCGCGAGGGCATTCATAATCACAATTTTCAGTTGCCACGGATCTCACTTCCGAAGTTTTCGGGCAAGTTCTCCGAATGGGAGAGTTTTAAAAATACTTTCGAGTCTCTTGTCGCGAGTAATGATTCTCTCTCGAACACGCAGAAATTTCATTACCTCAAAACGAGCGTCATCAGTGACGCTGCCTCGATTATTAGTAATTTAAAGATTTCCGACGCTAATTATGAGTCCGTCTGGCAGTTGTTGATTGACGAGTATGATGATCAACTTACGTTGATCCATACTCACATTCACGCCTTCATGTGCCTACCGACAATGAAGGCGGAAAACGTCGCGGAAATGCGAAAGTTGAGAGATACCGTGTCCGCATCTCTAGCGGCTCTCACTAATCTAAAGCGGCCGGTACGCGAGTGGGATGACATTCTCGTCTACGTCATCTCTCAAAAATTTAGTTCGAAAACAAGGAGCGAATGGAATTTAAAAATTTCGTCAAGTCGCGAGCTTCCTTCGTACAAGGATATTCATGAATTCCTCACGCTTCGAATACGAGGTCTGTCGGACTTCTCCGACAATCCTAAAGTAATCGTCAATTCTAAGAGTGACAAAACGCAGTCCTCCGTTCATAATCTTTCCGCGATTAAGTGCATTTGCTGTTCCGGCAGTCATTCGGTAATGAAGTGCGAGGAATTTCGTCGGAAAAACGCGACATAGCGGCATGTCATCGCGCGACAGAATCGGGTCTGCTTCAATTGTTTGCGAGCGGGACATTTCACGCCGAAATGCTCGAGCAAAATTCGATGCGCTCATTGTCAACGCTCTCATAACACATTGTTACACAATGAGAGTGATCAAAATAAGGACACAGCGGAAAATTCCCGTTTATCGAATTCGAGCGTTAATGCGTCTACTACCACGAGTAAGACTGTCGTAGTCGGCGACGCCGCCGTCGCCAGCGTGCAAACTCTCAAACCTTAGAATACCACGATGCCCACCGTTCTTCTCGCGACCGCGTGGGTTGACATACACACTTCTGAAGGAAGATGTTTTAAGGTCCGCGCTTTATTAGATCAAGGGTCTAATTTTAGCTTTATTTCCGAAGCATTGAGTCAAACGCTTCGCACTAAACGACAGAGGACCGATCTTCAAATAAAAGGTTTCGGGGAGAAATATGCCGGTTCTGCGCGATCGAGAGTTTCGCTAAATTTGACGCCGTGCGAAAAATTGAATCCTGTTTTTCCGGTCACTGCGTATGTATTCCCGCGAATAACTTCGTACGCCACGTCGCGAATTCGGCCTATAGAATCATGGCCTCATTTACAGGGCCTTTCACTAGCATATCCGGATCCATCTAGTCGACATCAGATTCACATGCTGATCGGCGCGGACGTGTACGGTTCGCTCTTATTGCGCGACCTGAGACAGGGCCCCTATGGAGCGCCCACTGCCCAATCGACCTCGTTCGGTTGGATAATCTCTGGACCGACCGGAAGTAAAGAAACTACTTCACAAGAAGTAACTGTTTTGAATTGCGTATCCGCGCTGGATGTGGACTCTCTCCTCCAGAAATTCTGGGAGGACAAAGAGATTCCCACGCCAACTTCCCTCACGGAGGAGGAAGAAAAATGCGAATCTCATTTCGCTCAAACGCACAGTCGTGATCCTGACGGTCGTTATGTCGTGAGATTACTTTTCAAAAATGCTTTGCCGATCGATATCGGGGAATCTCTCTCCATAGCGCGTACATTGTACGGTCGTCTGGAAAATAAATTGAATTCAAAATCCGATCTCTGTTCGCTATACAGAGACTTTCTTACAGAATACGAGGCCCTTGGACATATGACTCGCGTTGGCGAGTCCGAACCCACTGAGAATATACCGATTTATATTCCCCATCATCCAGTAATAAGAGAGGATAGTTGCACCACAAAGCTTCGAGTCGTATTTAACGCGTCGTGTAAAACCCGGAATGGCACGTCACTTAACGACCATTTGCTCATCGGGCCAAAGTTGCAGCAGGATCTCCCTGCCGTCTTATTGCGTTGGCGTGCATGGCGCTTGGTTTATACGGCAGACATCGCCAGATGTTTCGACAAATACGCGTACATCCGCGGGACGTCGATTACCAAAGAATCCTGTGACGTCCGACGGATGACGCTCCGCTTACTCATTTTCGCCTTCTTACAGTGACGTATGGTTTAGCATCGGCACCTTATCTTTCGATGCGCGTGCTTCGACAGCTCGCGCTTGATGAAGGTGCAAAGTTTCCTGCCGCGGTACCGATCGTCAATGATTCCATTTACGTGGACGACGCATTGTTCGGAGCAAACGATATCGATTCGTTAATAAATACGCGAACTCAGCTCGCTGAGCTAATGAGGCGCGGAGGTTTTTCACTTCGTAAATGGGCTTCAAACTGTAGCGAGCTTCTTGACGATTTATCCAGCGATCAATCGGACGTTACCGATCACCTTATCCTAAAGGACGAAACGTTGAAAATACTCGGATTATCATGGCTCCCTACGGAAGACTCCTTCCGCCTTACTGTGAAATTTAATTTTCCTACCGCGTTAACTAAGCGTTCAATCCTGTCGTGCATCGCGAGCTTGTATGACCCCCTCGGATGGGCTGCGCCGGTTGTAATAAACGCAAAAATCATTCTGCAAGAGCTATGGCTTTTACATTGCGACTGGGATGCTCCGCTTCCGAACGAATTGAGTCAACGGTGGAATGCTTTCGCTTCCGAGTTCCCGCAATTAGAATCCGTTAGAATTCCTCGGTGGACGGGTCAGAGCCCTGATAATCTCGCGTTAGAAATACATGGATTCGCCGACGCTTCAAATCGCGCGTACGCTGCGGTCGTATACTTGCGCGTTTTCCATTCTCTTTCGGAATACCGTGTTAGCTTGATCGTTGCGAAGTCGAAGGTGGCTCCCGTCAAGACTGTTAGCATTCCGCGGCTCGAGCTCAACGCCGTTGTTTTATTGAGTCGACTCGTTAAGTGGGTAATTAAGTCATTAAATATTATTCATTGTCCGATCCATTGTTGGACGGACTCCACGATCGCGTTGGCATGGTTACGCCAACATCCATCGAAATGGACTACGTACGTAGCAAACAGAGTATCCGAGGTGCAGTGTAATCTACCCTCGGCCAAATGGAATCACGTACCGTCCAAAGACAATCCGGCCGACTGTGCATCCAGAGGGTTGTACGCATCCAAGTTAGTCTCACATCCGTTATGGTGGGCGGGCCCGCCTTGGCTTCAATGGCCTTCAACAGCGTGGCCGCCACATAACATTGCTTCTCCGATCTCCACGGAGTTAACTAAGCAAATACACTCGGAAAGTCGAAAGTCCACTGTCCTTCACGTGGAAGGTACACCGGAATGGGATCTCCCTTATAGATACTCCTCCTGGACTAAGCTCATTCGAGTGACAGCCTACGCTTACAGATTTATATCCCGCTCCGCTAAACAAAGGAATTTTGAAGCTAATGTTGCGTTGTCTCTTAACGCGGACGAACTTAAACGCGCGGAAATGTTTTGGGTCTCATATACGCAGAGGAAGTCGTTCGACTCCGAACTCAAAGCATTAAAGAGAGAAGAAAACCTTCCGCGAAAGAGCCCACTGAAGCCTCTTAATCCTTTCATAAGAAAAGATTCCTTACTACGTTTCGGCGGGCGGTTACGGAATTCCGCACTATCCTTCGAGGAACAACACCCTATCTTAATTCCTCGGGGTCGAGTAGCCGAGTTATTAATTGATCAAACGCACCGAAGCTCACTTCATGGAGGAACTCAACTTGTGCTTAGAACACTCTGCCAAAAATATTGGATATTAAGTTGTCGTAATGCCGTAAAACATTGCATTAGACAATGTGTCGTGTGTGCTCGTTACGCGAACAAACTATCAAATCAACTTATAGGAGACCTTCCCTCCCCTCGCGTAAATCCATCATCTCCGTTCACGCATACGAAAGTAGATTACGCCGGGCCGTTCCTTGTTACTTCATTAGTCGGTAGAGGACAAAAGACACGTAAAAGTTACATCGCCTTGTTTATCTGTCTTGTGACGAAGGCTATCCACATAGAGCTCGTTGAGGATTATTCCTCTGCGGGATTTATAGCGGTCTTTCGAAGATTCGTTAGTCGACGAGGATTGCCACAAAAACTCTACAGCGACAACAGCACGAACTTTCACGGGGCGGACCGGGAATTAAAAACGGCTTTTGACAAATTGACCAACGACATTTCGCTACGAGCCACTCTTGCAAACGACCGAGTGGAATGGCATTTCATCCCAGCCGCAGCACCGCACTTTAGCGGTCTGTGGGAAGCGGGAATAAAGTCTAAAAACGCACTTGAAAAAGGTAGTGGGTCCGCGTACCTTGTCTCAGGTCGAATTTGCAACACTACTTTGCAGAGTCGAGGCATGTCTCAATTCGCGTCCCATTGCTGCGTTAAACGACGACCCGAGCGATTTGTTAGCACTCACGCCGGGTCATTTTCTTATAGGTCGATCAATAACCGCAGTACCGGAAGAATCAGTACTCGCGGTAAACGAGAATCGACTCTCTCGATGGCAGCTCGTCAACGCAATGCACGAGCGAGTCTGGCGTGCTTGGTCTCTTGACTATTTGCATTCGTTGCAGCAACGAAGCAAATGGAAGGATAAGACTGCGAGTTTTTGCGTCGGTGAGCTTGTGCTCGTAAAGAACCCACTGCTCCCTCCGAGTAAGTGGGAACTCGCTCGAGTTACACAGATCCACCCCGGATCCGACGGGCTCGTTCGGGTAGTAACGATACGCACCGCGTGCTCCTCGTTCAAGCGACCAATCACGCTGCTTTGCCGTCTCCTGATTAATTGTGATAATTAATTCCGTATTATACGAAAATTTGTAAGTGGATTAAATCTAGATTTAGGGAAGAGTTTGTATTTGTTTGCAACAGCGGTTCGCTGGTCTTTCGGTTGAAGATAACTGTGTTATCCGAACGGACGACCTTCGTATAGATATCCGTCCCTATTTGCACTCGAAATTTCGAGAAAGTAAATACTTCGCACGTTCTAAGCAAGCTGTGCTCATTGTTCGCAAATTTTATTTGTTGTCACGTCGTCGCGAAGATTATAAGGTTTCGCCCTTTCAAAGGTCATTCAGCGAGTTTAACATCGATTGCTCATTTTGACACATTATAACGACTCAAACCTGTGGAATGATTTCGCATCGGTTCGCATGCGAGGCGGGCGGTATGTTTAAAACTTGGAACAAAGCTGTCGAGAAAAAAAAAATATATATATATATTGTTCTGGTTCCGAGTCGAAGCCAGGGACTCAAGGCTCGACCAACGATCGACTTTGTTTGGCACCTCGAGCGGACATCGACAGGTCAACCGGCCAGCGAATCACGATTAGCCGCGCGCGTGTCACGCGCCGAGTTCATGCAAAGCTCGTGATTCCGAATCGGTTGTCTTCCCCGAGGTTAAAAAAAGAGTTCAGTTAGCCCAAAGACACAGTCAAGAGCACCCAACGATAAAGCGGTATGCTTGTAACGGATCCGCGATATCCTGTCTTTCTTTGTTCTTGAAGAACGACAATCGAACCTCAATCACGTATTCAATAGTCTATCAAAAGGGTCCGAAGCGTCGGAACCAGATACAGTGTACAAATCTGATATGATACAATAAAATTACTGTTATTAAAATTAAATAAAAGGAAAAACAATCACAATAAAATATAAAATATATTTCATTAATTTTACTTTACGGTTTAGTAAAATTAATAAAACATGTTTCATATTTTATTGTGATAGATATTATTATTTTGAATGTGATAAATATTAATTAGAGGAATTCTAATAAAATTTTTTCCATACAATATTATCCTACGATTACCACAATTTTCAGGGCAAATTCTAAGAGAAAATTCTCTCAGATTGTGATTATGTGTTGTAATTTGTAATCAGTTATTTATTACAATAAT